TTAGGCATAATAAAAGTTTTAAATTTTGCATGCAAAATTTTGAGAACCTAGGCTACAAAATGATATAAGTTATTTGTTTTTATTGTGTGCATTTTTGCGCAATTTTTGTTTAAAAATGCGCCCGACTTTTGTCTAGTGAGTGTATTTCATGATACTATTTATTAGCTTATAATTTTAATAACAAGTTTCCCAATAAATGGGTGACAGGTTGATAACTCAAACAATTCATCAGTATATTCAAAAATTATTATGGTAATTTTATGATTATAATTTGAAGCTATTATCACTGATTAAATTTGGGAGAGCATATTTTAATTGGTGATAACAATTATTTTTGTTTTTGTGTGGATCAGAATGAATAGGGATCAATGAATTGATTTTGGTATTAGTGAATAGTTTTGGTTAAAGAAGATAAAAGTTTATTTAAATAAAATATTACTATTTTATTTATTTAGTTTTATTTAGTCAAAACTAATTAACTTGTTATCAAGTTACTTTTACAGTAGGTCAAATTCAAGTTCTTTATATACATGTCAATTAATTATAAGTCCATATGGGTTTGCATGCCCATTTGGGTTCATCATGATGAATTTCTACTAAATATAGTTAAATAAATCAAATAAATATTAATGTGTTACAGATTAATTAATAATAATAAGAATAACAAGTTTTTAAACGAAAACGTGACAGTGAGCTTCGTGCCTTTTACTCACACAACGACATCACTCAGGTCAAGACAATGACAATAGTCTATTTTATTAATTCAAAAAAATACAAATAGGATGGCCATCCCCACATTTTTTTTTCATTTTTTTTTTTCGTATATAGAGAAATTCCTCTCAGGCCATTTCCACGCCCCTGTCCATCTTCAAGCAATCAAGTTTACAGACGGTGAGCACATTCAAACCATGAAATCAATTATCATTTTATCATTACACAACGTTATACAAGATGGTCGAAAAATAAAAATAACCACCGCACCGAGTGTTTCATAGCATCACAATAATAAAAAAATACATGATTCAATTGATTCAATCATTTACATTTTTAACCCACTCAATTGTTGATCGACCAATCAAAATTGTGAATTTGATAACGTAAAAATAAACGTTAACATAAAACATTGAATTGATTCATCTTGTCAACAATCACTTCACCAACAGTTGTTTCGTTAACAAATGGATTGAATTTAAGAAGTTGGAAGCAACCATTTGAAATAGTCTAGTAAATTAAATCGTACCACTTGAAAATGTATTTAAAGGGTTGGTTTTCGACTTGGTCGAAGAATAACTCTCTTCCCAACTCTTCTCTTGACCATATCTCTCGATATAATCAAAATAACCTTAATATAACAAATGTAGACTAAATGATCGTAAACGCGACCAATCAAACCCGCCCATACAATTATTTGAATAATTGATAAACGTTCATCAGTATATTTTTTACAAACTTGCTTTGGAAGTTTCATATGTCGTCATACGTCTTGTATTTAACAGTCTACTTTTTCTGTTTAATTTTATTTTTTTTTTAGATTACACAATAAAAATTATGGAATAAATTTAATCCAATAAAATGGTTGGTATCCCATATTTTGCACAACTTGAAAAAAAGTTAATATATAAGTCATAGAATTTGTATAATAGTATCGGTCAGGGAAAAGTCATGCAATGATGAAGTACCGTGTAAGACCTTCTGTGTCTGGCTCCCTTAGGTGCAATGCCTCACTTTGGACTGGCTGTAAAGTCCCGCGTGTTAAGGAGGTGGAACTGACGTGGGTGGCTCATGTTGGGTGTTGACCCTTTGTGACATGACCCTCCTTTTGTTAATTTTTATTATTTATTTTTATTTAGTTAAAAGGAAACATTTAAAAAAAAAAAATTAAATTTCGCTAATTGATTTGATTGGTTACATTTGTGATATATGAAGATCCATCAATCAATAATATTATAATTAATAGCAACTACGACAATGAATCATCGTTTCTTGAGGATGATAAGATCCAGTTTGTATAGGAGTGATCGAAGTAAGCGTTAAAGGACATGATTTATGAAGCTTTCAAAATATTCTAACGAATGCTTTATCGATTATTCAATAGTTTGTATGTAAGTATTAAGGAAATTTCTTCTCAAAATTGGTGGCGTGGCACAGAAAGTTGTGACTTGCACTATTACTATAGTGCAAGACACCTAGTCCCACAACTTTTTATTGGCCTTGTAGATCCTTCTCTAACTCCAAAAATGGAAATGTA